ATCCCCCGTTCATGCTCTGTCTCTCTCTGTCCCAAAAATAAATAAACGTTGAAAAAAAAAAAAAAAGAAAAAAAAAATAAAAAAGAAAAAGAAAATGCATGTTTTACAATCCTGTGTTGATAAGAAAAATCCTTGGGGCGCCTGGGTGGCGCAGTCGGTTAAGCGTCCGACTTCAGCCAGGTCACGATCTCACGGTTCGTGAGTTCGAGCCCCGCGTCGGGCTCTGGGCTGATGGCTCAGAGCCTGGAGCCTGTTTCCGATTCTGTGTCTCCCTCCCTCTCTGCCCCTCCCCCATTCATGCTCTGTCTCTCTCTGTCCCAAAAATAAATAAACATTGAAAAAAAAATTAAAAAAAAAAAAAAAAAAAAAAGAAAAATCCTTAAAACCTAAAGCATTTAATTAGATGAAGCAAATTACAGATCATGTTGACAATTCTCTTCCACTAATAAACCTGCAAAAGGTGCCCCTCTTATTTCATCTGGCTGACGCTGATCTTTTAGGTCTCAGCCAGTACTTCTTCCAGAGGCCTTCCCCAAATGCAGATTAGAGGCCCTAGTTAAACACTCCTAATAGAACTTTGTACTTCCACTAACAAAGCATTTAGGTACACTGTATTATAACTTTCTGGCAGTGACTGATACAAGTAGACATTCAAATAAATGTTGAAGGAAGAGGTCAAAGAGGTCAGAACGGCTTCAAAGTGGTAGAGAAGCCAACCCTTCAGATTAGGCTACAGCTGCAAATAAGGGGTTGAGGGTGGGAGCAGAGGTAGGAGGGCCATGGGTGATAGAGGACACTTCCTTGTGAATGAAAAAGGCAAGCTTCTGAAAGTAGTATGACAGTCAAACAAGAAAGTAAGACTAAGAATGACCATACACGGACTTACGAATCCATTCAATTTTATAATGATATGAATAATTGGTTCAAAAATTAAACCAGGGACGCCTGGTGGCTCAGTTGGTTAAGCATCTGACTCTTGGTTTCAGCTCAGGTCATCTCACAGTTCATGGGATTGAGCTCCACCTAGGGCCCCAGCTCCACATTGGGCTCCACACTCTCAGCACAGACCCTGCTTGGATTTCTCTCTCTTCCTCTCTCTCTGCCCTTCCCCAGTTTGCATGCATGCTCTCTCTCCCTCTCTCAAAATAAATAAATAAGCTTTTTTAAAAAATTAGATAAACCAATTTAAGAAATAGTTTATTTTTTAAAATTACTTAAAAGAAAGATTCATAAATTGGAAAAAAATCTCACCTGTCATAGGATCAAAGAGCTGATTAGCTTCTAAGTCCGTAAAAGTACTACTACAGACAGGACATTTGAAGGAAGCCCGGTTGGTGGAATCTCTCTCATCAGTTTCAATCCTCCTTCTCATGTGGTCCAATTTATATTTTACCACGTTAACAAGAGTACGATAATTAATAAAGTAGTAGTTATGGCGAGTGGTTTTCCCATCTGCAGCAGTCTCTACCCTCATTCTGCATTTGATGAACTTATCTCCCTTTAAATTATTCAAAACTGATCGAAGTTGCTTCCGATCAAACTTGAGCAGCTCCAACATATCCTCCTCTTTCACACAGGGGTTCCGGATCAAGATGTCCAAGGCCAAAGCATGCTCAATGCCATAAAACCCCCGGATCACGTACTTGGCTAGCCTCTTCAATGCTGCAGGAACCTCGGTGAGGACATCTGGGTCTGCCATCTTTAGCAGCAAACTTCAACTTTAAATAAACCAAATTCAGAAAAAAAAAAAAAAAAAGGGATCAGAAGGACATAGTAATCATTTTAAATCTAGAATTATCAACCCAATAGGGAGCTGGTAGTTACCACCCTTTGAAGTGCCACAAAGGTATCTGAGACATTGTTTTAAGACTTACAGGGGCACCTGGGTGGCTCAGTCTGTTAAGCATCTGACTTTGGCTCATGTCATGATCTCGCGGTCTGAGTTCGAGCCCTGTGTCGGGCTCTGTGCTGACAGCTCACCGCCTGGAGCCTGTTTCAGATTCTGTGTCACCCTCTCTCTCTGACCCTCCCCCATTCATGCTCTGTCTCTCTCTGTCTCAAAAATAAACAAATGTTAAAAAAAAATTAAGAAAAAGACTTATAAAGCCTAAGCATTTAACAGAAAACAAGATTTTCCTTTACAGTACACAGATTATACTTTAAAAGCTTCACATATTCCTTAAATGGTCATTTTCATGATCTACTGTGCTTGATTCTAAAAAGAAACTTATTACCAATAGCAATGTTGTATTATAGTAAGCCCACTTTATTTCAGAAAAAGAAACAAAAAAGATAAATGAAGCCTCACTATTCTTAATGCTATAATCTTTGGGAATACTGGGAAACCCCTGAAAAATCTATCAGCATATCCTTAAAGTGTCTTTATTTCTTTTCTTGAGAAAAATTTTCCTACTATTTAGGATAAAATAGATAGATAAATAGAATAGATAGATAAATAGAATAGATAAAATAGATAAAATAGAATAGATAAAAATCTATTCTAGGAGGTTTTACATAGTCATGCTTTCACAATAAAATCACAATAAACCAATAAACACATAAGTAATCACCAGATGGGTGTTTGGCAAAATTACTGTTATAAATCTGAAAGAAATTAACACTTGGATCCAGATAGCTTTACCAACCTTGCAAAGTTAAATCTGATGATCAGTTGAGTAAACAGTCAAAAAAAACAAAACAAAAACAAAAACAACTCAAGATATCTTTAAATACTGGATCCCTTCTTGCAGGACGAAGTACCCAGTTCTCATGTCATGACCCATAAGGCTATCTTCTACAAGCCCACACTGGCATGGGCTAGATTTTCACGTGGCTGTTAAAAAGCCTGTGCATTGGAATTCAGTTAGCCTGAGTTTTAGTAGCTGTGTGATCCTGAGCAAATTCCTTAAAACAACTTCAAGCCACATTTTACTCTCTGAGAAATAAGGATATTAATTACCTCAGTGAGGTTATTGTGAATAAATAAGAATGTGAAGCAATATGTGTATTAGGAAACACTTGTTGATAAGGGTAGCTCCCATGTTGGTTTAATCATTAAATCAATACATGACAGCCAGGCTATCCACACAGACTATGTCAACATTTCCCTACACTATAGGGAAATTTTTATGAGGCTATTGAACTCTTTCAATAGAGAATCACATTCTTTTATTAATATTAGTTTCGATTGAACCTTTTGTTTATAATCAGTGGTTATCAACAGAATCAGATTTAATACCTTTTTTAGAAGAAATGTCTTTATATCCACAGTACTATACTATCAAGGTATTCCTAAACAACCAATCTATACACATATTTTGGGGGGGAAATATAATGCCCTATGTGTAATAAAGGAAAGATAAAAGGAAAGTCAGTTACAGTATTTCAGATTGTAAATAATCAGGCAGGAATGACTATATAAAAGAGACAAAGCAGGACCTAGATCCAAATCTATTGTAGCCCTAGAACATTCCTGTCATCCCAAGGCTGAAGGATGCTGAGCAAGTACCTGAGTTGAACACAAAAGTAGTATCATAGCATACTACCAGATGCATTTTGTTCTCCTTTCCAATTTGACCCCAGTTTTTTGTTTGCTTTGTTTTACACGCTCAACAGTTGGCAAAACATAACATACAGCCTCTAAAATATCTAACAAACGAAAAATGGCAGACAAATGTCAAAATAAATTACTTTTCCAGTATTATTTCCTACTGTTATATTGCCCTCCCTGACCTCCCACTCCATAAGCTCCATATTCTAGACCAATGGTTCTCAACCCTGGCTGTAAAGCAGAATCATCTGGGGAGCATTTAAAAACACCCATCCTGGGCCCCATTCCCAGATATTTTGTTTCAGCTGGTCTGGGAGAGCCAGGTTAGGCATAGTGTTATTTTATTTATTCTGCTATAACCTGTTATTTATTCTGTGTTCCAACACACAAAGTCTCTGACCACTGTTCCTGACAAATTTGGTGAGTGGCTACTACATGTCCCCCCAGTACACATTATCATTTTGCCTGTCTCCTTTGCCTGAAACACCTTAGTGGGCCCTACAGATTTAAGCAGGGAGTGACATGAGGGACTCTGCAGTACAATAGTTTTGGTTTAGAATCCCGGCTCCACCATTTCCTACCGGTGACGTTAGAAAATTCTGTTTCCTCATCTATAAGTGATTGATAGCACCCTCCTCGTAGATTTGAAGTACAGATTACCTGAGATAATTCATGTAAAGTGTTCTGCTTTCAGGGCTAAAAACAGAAAAGTGCCATTAAATACAGGCATTGATAATAATACCCTCTATTTAGAAAAGTGACTCTTGTACCAATATGAGAAACGGCCATAAGTATTGAAGATGGAGCCACTGCAAAGCTATTAAGAGCCATGGTAACCAAGCCTAAACTAAGGAAGAAAGGACAGGATGAATGAAACTTACTACAAAAACAAAATTAAAAGAATCTGATAATTTATTGGAAGTGAGTTACAGAGTGGGAAAATTTTAAATAGCTATTTGGGTTTGTTTGTTTGTTTGACAACACTTTTTATTGTGGTAAAATACACATAACACAAAATTTAGCAATTAACCATTTTGAAGTATACAGTTCAGTGGTATTAAATATATTCATACTGTGGCACAACTATCCCCACCCCCCATCTCCATAACTCTTTGCATCTTGTAAAACTGAAACACTGCACCCATTAAACAACATGCTTAATATTATTAAATAATGACATATAGTTATGTGCTTTGAGCCAGTGTAGCTAGGAAGAGAACACTACTACTAAGAAAAATGAGTTAACACCTGAAAGAGGAACAGGTATGGAAGAAATGAGGCATTCACTTTTAGATGCTTGACTTTGATGATATACCACAGAATATTCTGTGAAGATGTCCAGCAGGTAGCTGAACAAATGAAACTGGGGCTCAGGAAAGAAGTCATGCTGTTCCAGCTTATGCAAAATCTCTACATTCTAAAATCATCCTTCCTGACATTTTGTTCTCTCCTCTATCATTTCTTCTTCCCCACTTAAGCTGAATCTCCTACTCAGTCTTTGGATTTATCATGTTACTTAAGTCAGAGGTCTCAAACTGGCAGCCTCTGTCACATTGTTTGACCCAAAGAACGTTTTGAAGATTTTCTGAATTAGTCATCAACACTGAAAAATCGTGAAATTTCACATAAATTTCAACTTTAAGCTTGAAAGTTGGAAATATCTGAGGAAAAAAGTGAGATCATGTTCCCACAGGGAAACAATAACCTGAAGCTGAAGAACAGTTGATGGTTTTAAACAGGGAAGGAGCTTGGCTGGCCTCTGGAGACTTTTGAATGTGTGACCTTTCGGCACCAACCTGTTTCTTCTTTTTTAGCCTCACAGTCCATCAGTCACCTCCCAGCCTCACCTACCTCCCTAACACAGTCCAGACCCCCAAGGGCAAGTTGGTTTGGTCTTTGAACAATGTATTCTCATCATACATTTAGCCAGGCACAGAGTTGGAGAAACAAAGTTGAAATGCATCCCTTCTCTGCACTGTTGACCCTTGTCAGCCTCATCCCCAGCCACACTGGCATTCTCTCAATTCCAATTCCATAAGCCACACATGCTTTCTCCACTTCCAGGCCTTTGCACATACTGTTCATTCTGCCCACAAAGCTAAGCTCAACTCCCTTCTCCTAATCATCTTTCACATATAAAATGACGTTTCTCAGGGAGACATTCCCAGATTCCCCCGAGTAGCTTAAATGTTCCCCTTTCACACACAGCGCTTCCCCTTTACTTGTCGCAGTAAATAGATTTGTACTGTCTTCATGTCCGTCTCTTGAGACCAGGGCCTTTATCTTGTTCACCACTTTCTAGCACCCAGCACAGCTAGTCTAGCACTTTCATAAAACTTCCAGGAAGTCTCCTAAACACGTGTTCAAAATGCCCACCCTGCCAGCTTCCCCCAATTCACTTCCTCCACTGCTGCTTCCAGAGTAGAAAAAGACTACTGAGAACCCTCTCCTTCAACCTCAAATGGTTTTAAGCAGGCGGTGACAGGATTGAAATTCGCTGTTTTACAAGGTTATGCTACAGGATGTAAAACAAAGGAGAAAGGAGCGGATGTGGGAATCCAATTAGATTATTTCAGCGTACCACTATTCCGGTTTTAGAAAACCATGGATCCTATACGTCTGTGCTTTTTTTCAGTTACCATCTTCCATGGCACTTTCCATACCTTCGTACATAAAGCGGCATAATCACCGCAAAAACTGCAACCGGCTGCCCTCCACGAGCTCGGTTCTGAGCTCGGTTCTGTAATGTTCACTCCTCCCCGCTGAGAGCCCCCGAGCCCCTAAATTCCCTCGGACTGTGCCAGGTGAGTCCTGGGGCCACACTCGGCGCAGCCAAGCCCGTCCTACCCGAGGTCGCACACGGGCCGCTCCGGGGTCAATGGTTCTTTGGAGGACCACGTCAAGGGAATAGCTAAGGGGATGCGGGTAGCTAAGGAGAAAGGAGAGAAAAGGGGGAGAAACCCTGAAATGCGACGCCGGACGAGGGAATCGAGAACAAGGAACAGGGAGCAAGGTTTACCAAAACGAATCTTCGAACACTCCCACTACAGCTTCCCTCAGCGCCTCAACTACCGGCTTAAACGAGCCACGCCACTAGTGCGACAAAGACAATTCCTTATTCCTGCGACCAGCTTTGGAACCCACCCACCACTTTTAACCGTACCGGCCAATCAGCACAGTGAGGCCTCCGATCAAGGCAGGCACACCCCCGATTAGCCAATGAAATTGAAGACTCTCTCTTCCATACCCAGCTCTGGTTGGCCTACCATCCCGGAACAGGCGTTAACTCCGGGCTGTGGCAAGATGGCGTCCCTGGATCGGGTGAAGGTACTGGTATTGGGAGACTCAGGTGAGCGGCTTAATCCACCTCTAGAGTTCCTGACACTGTTGAGTTATCTGATAACCCTCTTCCTTCGCTACTCCCCCGCTTCTCCAACGAACTGGCTCTGACCGTGGCTGAAAGCCCTCTCAAGGTCTAAAAACTACACTTCCCAGAGGACTTTGCTCTGACGAAGGTGGCGTTGCAGGTGGGGGGCGCGGAGCCCCGACCTTTCTCCGCCTTCGCAGCTTTCCAAGCCGGTCTCCCGGGCGACCGCATCCTAGCTTGTATTGCCGATTCCTTTGTTTTAAGAGATATGCAGACATTGAGTATTGTATTGGGCGCTGTAAGAAAGATACAGAAGCTGGGATCGTGCCTTCAAGAGATTTTGTTCATTACGGAATTCAAACATGCGCTAAGAAAAATGACACTGTTCCAACTGCTTTACAGATATTAACTCATTTAATCTGAGACCAGCCCTATTAACCCCATTTTACAGATGAGAAAAGTGAAGAGGAGAGATAAATGACAGAAGCTGTTTGAACCCAGAGTCTACGCACTTAAACACTAAGTCATGTTCTGAAATGAAATATTGGGTTGTAGTCCTGTTTTAGTCCTGTTTTACTCTCAGCTGGGCTTCTTGATTTCTTTGTTCTCTTTAATCCTAATTGAAAACCTATTATGTACTAGGTTGTAAGAAAAAGAGCAATTAAGATAAGGCTATATTATGAAACAGCTAGGATTTAATGCTGAGCTCAATTTAATCCTAGTGTTAAAATTCTTCTTTTGACAACTTGGACTTTTGAGAACTAGAAGTGAGGTCTGCATTTCCCCCTCTCACCTCACTACCATTCTCTTTCTTACCATAACTTCCAGCCCTGTGCTCATTAAGAACTTGGAATAAATGCTAACCTTGCATTTCGTGGATGTCCTTTTCTGGAGTTGACCTCTGAATGTGTGCTGTAAGCAAAGACATTATGCAAAATGCATGGAAGATATACCATGGAGAGGATACACCCTAAACAACTTGAAAACTAGCCTTACAGACTGTAAACAGTTGTGGTGGAGAGGAGGAAGTTAAGAATGTTTCCACATCGCCTGAAGATTATTTGCATTCCAAAATGTTTTATAGATCGCATTATTTAATATCCCCTTAAGAAAGTTGCATTATGAAATTCTTTTCATATAATCCAAATTATCAACTTCAGTTCTTTAGCTTGAAGTGATGCTGAAGTTAATGAAGTCACTCAGCTAGTAATAATGGTCTAATGGGACTTGGCAAGAGTATAACCAAGTAGAATTTGAGACAAATTCAGAGCTAACGTGGTTCATGATGTATAAAGTGGGCTTTCTCCCTCATTTTTAATTCACTTTTCTATCACATCTAACCAACGCTTGATGTTCCATATTGTTGGAATTAGTCGGTTTTTTTCTTTTTCACAAAAATACTTAAGTACCTGCTACATAGCAGGCACTATAGTAAGTGCTGAGGCTGTAACTGTGAAATCGATGCATTACATAACAGGGTTGAATTGGCTGCTGCATTCAATGTGGAAAAATGATCAGGCAATTAGTAAGCTTTTCTTTTTCCTGATAGCCTGGTTGTAAAACAGAAGACACAGTCACGCCCACTTGATTGATCTTGTCACACATTCACGGACATTAGGCTATGTATGCAAAGTCGGTTATTGCCTTTTTGTCATTTCCCTTTTAACACTGATTTAATAACAGGTAAGGGTATGCTTTTTACACTTCATCTGCCTTTGTATTCAGACTTCAAAGTTTATTTTTGAATAAAGTATTATTTCCCCTGTGAAATGTTGAGGATTTCACAAACATATAAAAGAATGACTTGAAATGTAGAGATTTGTTTTATATCCCCTAGAGATAGTTGATAATTTAGTTAGGAATCCTGAAAGTCTCACTAATACACACATACGTTTTTCCTCTTTGTTCTTTCAGAGATGAGAGATAAGCTTAACACATTACCAGCAACTATATTTGGAACTGGCATTTATTTAATTATATTGGACTTTTTCCCCTAAGCAAATCAAGGGCATTCTTTTGATCTAATTCGATTCTAATGGTAAAAGCATAGAATTAGTACCTCCCAAAATTCTTTTTTTTTTAATTTTTTTTTCAACGTTTATTTATTTTTGGGACAGAGAGAGACAGAGCATGAATGGGGGAGGGGCAGAGAGAGAGGGAGACACAGAATCGGAAACAGGCTCCAGGCTCTGAGCCATCAGCCCAGAGACCGACGCGGGGCTCGAACTCCCGGACCGCGAGATCGTGACCTGGCTGAAGTCGGACGCTTAACTGACTGCGCCACCCAGGCGCCCCCCAAAATTCTTAAAGAAATGAATAGTCAGCCAATTTTCTTGGCACTTCAGTAGTTCTTACTGCTGACAATCTATCCAGGGTTAGTCAACTCTTCCCACCCAAAACAGTTAATTCACGGAGAGCTATACAATATTAACTGCATAGAGATGTTTGCTGACACAGTTAAGCTTAACTAGAAACTCAAACCTTGCATCAGGCTGGTAACCAAGCGTGTAGA